TTCTTCTTTGCCCTGTACTCCTGTGAGGTCCTCGGCCTCCTCGACGCCACCACTGACTACCGCTGCAAGGTCATCAAATACCTCGACGACATTGTACTGATGGGTCCCGCGGAGGACGTGGCGGCCGACGTCGAGATTGTCAAGGCTCGTGCAGAGTCTGCTGGCCTCCATCTGCAGCCCAGTAAGAGCCGCTTCTACATGCCTCGCCACCATCCCGCTTCCATCACTGCTATCAAGTCTGTATTGCCAGATGCCGTGCGCGAGACGGCCAACACGGGCATGACGGTCTTGGGAACGCCGATTGGCCGTCGCGAGTGGATGAAGAAGCAGCTGAACGACAAGGCAAAGCACATTGCTGGCAGGCTCAATGACATGCTGACGACCGGTGTCTCGCTTCAGGCCCTCCTCACGGCCATGCAGTACGTGCCTAGCCTCATCAACCACCTCTACACGCTGCCCCCAAGTCTCACGTCGGGCTTGTCCGAGCTCTTGAACCGTGCTTGCAAGGACACCTTTGTCAAAGCCTTTTTTGCCAAGGTAAACCTGTCTGCACCAGCCGGAGCTGAAGGTCATGACGTTACGCTGGAACAGCTCCTGGAGGCTCGCATCTTCACGCGGGCCAACACCGGGGGCTTTGGCCTGCACGACTTGGTTGAGCGCGGTCCGGTGGCTTATGTCTGCAACATGGCCAAGCTGGCCACTCGCTACCCTCGGGTTTACGATCGACTCTTGGAGGATGCATCGAGGGCTGACGACTTTGAGGACCACGTGCAGCGAGCTGGCTTCCAGATGGCCACGGTCAAGGACGCGGCGACCCAGCGACCAGCTGAGATCATTTCCCTCCGCTCCAAGGCGGCACTGGACGACCTGATGGCCAAGTGTGCGCTGGACCTGCAGCAGGCATATCTGGCCTCACGCGAGTGGGGCGTCAGCACAGTCTTGATCATGCGGGGTCGGGACAAGTTGCGTCGCTTGAGCGACACGACCTTTGCCATTGCGGTCGTGTCCATGATGGGTTTTGGCCTCCATGAACTCATCAACGTCAAGCCGACGGACAAGTGCCCGCTCTGCAGCAGCAAGACACCTCAGCCGCGACTAACCCGCGAGCACCTGCTGACCTGCCGTCCCATCAAGCGACACAACGCCCTTCGCGACGAGATGGGCCGCCTGCTCAGGTACGCCACCCTCTCCCATGTCTGTTTTTTTTCTGACATCTTGGCGTGAACCACGTTGTC